CTATGGAGACTCAGAAAGCATTGATCTCCAAGCAGCGTCACTGCTAACTTCACACTTTGTGACAAGTGGGCCCTGTCAGAGGGCTGACGCACCCATCCATCCATCCCTCCAGCCACTCAACAAGCCTGCTCTTTGCCAAACAATAGGCTGGGGACTAAGGGGACAGAGGCTGGGGAGGGGGAGGGAGAACTGGCCTATAGAGGGTTCTCACTCGGCTGGTCACAGGGGACTGGGCTCAGGGCTGGCCCAGGTGTGCTCTGCTGGACAAGGGTTGGATCCAGGGACATGCAGGAAAGTGTCTTCTGGACCTGAGTGGGTGTGGGGGCCATCTGGTCGGACCCACTTGCTTTAGAACAAATACCATCCCTTCCCTCCTTTGGCTGCGATTCTAAGGCCTCCCTGCCCGCCGGTCCGTTCCCTCCCTGAAACAGAGCCCGTCGTTATTTCAGGCAAGGTGCTCTGGGCATTGCCCCTCAAGAACTCCATTCTTTCCTACAGAGTGAAGAGAAGGTGAAGGGGCTCACTATGTCCACATGGGCAAGTGTTTTTCAAATAACATCTCTGTTTGAGGAAGAAGCTCTTATGAAGATCTATGTTTTGCTAGCAGCCAGAATGTTGGTTTCTGATGAAACCATTTGTTTTGCTAGCAGATCTGTCCACTTCAGCGCCCTCTCCCCCGTTGTTTTGGCAAGGGTCGATGTTTTTAGTGGGGCTGGTCAGAGGGTGGACTGTTTTCATAATATTTTCACCTGTGACTGTGGGTGGGAAAGTTGAGCCTGGCCAGTTCCTAAGGGCCATGTTGATGCAGTGTTGTGTAAGATGGTGCCAACATGAGTTTTCCCAGTTCTAAGATGTATGGGGCTCCTCGGCTCCCGGAGACCCTGAGCACAGCTCTGCCCTGCTCACTCCACATTCTGAAGTCAGTCCTGGCTCCAGGTCCAAATCCTGGTCCAGAGGGACTTCCAGCGGGTGCTTCTACAGAGCAATGGCTGCCTCCTGCCCCCAACGCGAGGAGGCCTTTCTGCACGGGCTTGGGAAAGGCAGCTGCCCAGCGGTGGGGTGGCCAAGTGGTGGAGGGAGCCGATGATGTTGGCGAGGGGGTGGCAGAGGCCACATGAACAGTGGCGGGTAAGAAGGACAGCAGTGCCAAAGCTGTGGATGGTGATGGAGGCGGTGTTGGAGATGGTGGGGATGATGGAGCAGGTGACAATGCTGATGGGGGAGATGGCAGCGCTGGGGGTGGTGCTGATACTGGGCTGATGGGGGAATGGGAGGTGGTGGTGGTGATGGTGGTGGGAATGGCAGAGGTTGTGTTCCGGGCATTGGTGTTGGAGGTGACAGTGCATCGGGCTGCCCAGCCCCTTTCTAGCCCAGATTCAGGGCGGTGCGCTGTGGCCCACCCACAGAAAGTGCACGATGCAGTGAGGAGAGGCACAGCATTTCTTTCCCGAAGGGGCCAGGATCCCGCCCTGGGAGCGGTGGAGACAGAACTGGCCCATGCATGCTGTCTCTGAGAATCAGGACCGGGCCAGCACTCCCCCCACCAAGCTGGGACCAGGCACCGGCAGACCCTCAGTGCACGCT